TAGTTTTAAATAGCGCTATAGAACATTGATATTGCTTTGAACCATGGTCAAATCTGATGTGATATTTTTCATCTTTTACCCATACACACAGCACGTGTTTGAATCATAATTTCTAAGCCTTCTGTCAGTTTTTGACCAATAAATCATTAAGGTGACCATGAAGATCTTGGTGGGTGTAAGCCAAATTTTAATGGATTTTTAAAATGACCCCACTCTATACCCCTATAAAGTTTTATTAGAAACTTAGATAGAAACACTTTTTTTTAAAAAAAAAAACCCACAACAGTAGCTTTCTGACACCAAAAGAGAGGTGCTGTTAGGATTTTATTTCCTCACTTCAAAAAGAAAAAAGCTCAAGAGAAAAGCTCAACCTTAAAAAGAATGAATGCGCTCGGTAGCTTAACAACTCACAAACGTACATGATGACAAAATCATTTTAGTATAAATGTATAAATGCAAAGTATAGAAATAGAGGCTAGCTACAGTATTAGAATGCAGAGTTGTTCTCCCACTTGTGTGGTCTGCATATGTTTAGGTTTTATGTGAGGTGTTAATTTTTTAAAGAAAGATTTCATAATCTACTGCCTACGTATCTGTTCAAGCAAACAAATCCAACTTTTTATTCATGGTATGCTTTTAGAGAACATGAATAAAATAAATTTGTGCAGTCCAAAGGCATGTGCTTAGTGGGGATAGGTTAACTGGAAACTCTAAATTGCTCATAGTTGTGAATGTGAGCACAAATGGTTGTCTGTGTCTATGTGCTAGCTCTGTGACAGACTGGCCACCTGTCCAGGGTGTACCCCGCCTCTTTCCCTAAGACAGCTGGGAAAGGCTCCAGGATAAGCGGAAGCAAATAGATGGATGGATGGACATCACAAAAATGACCAGAAATACAATGTGGATTTTAAAATGGTTTTGTTGTGATTGTTCTTGTTTTAAAGCCAGCAATATTTAAGAAAAAACTCCCTAATTTAAAATTTGTTTTGTTTGTTTATTTGTTTGTGTGTGTGTGTGTGTGTGTGTGTGTGTGTGTGTGAACGTGTGTGTGAACGTGTGCTTTTGTGTATCCGTGTCCAGAGGAACAAAGCATGTCCTAACATCTGAAAAATACTAAATCAAAACTGAAAAGTGTGTTGTGTTGTGCATTATGCGTGATGCATGTTGCAATAAAAGAATAACAAGATAATGAAGCAATCTCCAACCAGTGACAACAACAACGATCAATCGTTTAGTCAACTAGTCACGCGCATCCCTAATTGTAAGCTGTATCCCTGAACCTTATGTTATCTTATTACAGTTTTTGCCCGTTGCTTGAACACTATAAACCCATGCTTAGACTAAAGTAACACAACTTGAAGCTTTTGTTACCAT